TCGAAGTACACATCGTCGAATTCATCATTCGTCATTTGGCCTTCGACGAGTTGCTGAAGGTCGTGTGACAACGCGTCTCTTTGTTCGCGGTGAATCATTACTCCAAGAGTTCTCACGGCTGCCGGTGGCTTTCAGCAAGAGAGTACGCGGCAATTCTCTGGCCTGCCCTCACCTTATGGTTTCTTGCCGGAAGGTGGATTCCATACGGTTCTACTTTGCTCTCGTGCTCGAACAACCTTTGCGTGCTGCTCCCACAATACACCCTGTCGTATTGAGTAGAAAATGAAACGTGGATCTGGATAATCATCATCTTCTATCTCACACCGTATCTCCCCCTCAGCGTCACGCACAATCTGTGCAACTTGCTGGAAAATATGCACGATGAAGTCGCTTAGATCCCGGCCAGCAAACTCGAACTCTAGTGCATTGTCGTCAAGTGTTACCAGCAAATCCTGCTTTGCAAACACGTCACGAATTTGTGCTGCTTTGTCAGTAGTCAACGATTCGAATCTAAGGTAAGTGTCGTACGTCTTGATCGTATTCATCTTCGCATCTGAGAAATGTTGGTGAAGTGTGACGGAATGGGTGCCACTGGCCTCCAGCCAGTGCTTAGCTTTGGGCTTGTGGCAAAACTCCAACCTACCATCAAGCCAACTTCATCGAACCAGCAACATTAAGTCCTGCAACCGGCACGCGACAATAACCAGTCCCGACCACACATCCAACTCCAGTTGGTGCACGGGATGTATGACTTACGAGCCTCACCCCCTGCGTCGTGCCGTCGTGTCGTCGTGGTTCATTTCCCTTCTCAAATCCACAATCACATTCCCCATTCACAACCAACCCTCACCCGCAACAACCCCAGGCGGGGGTGGCCGAAAACAAACGTTGCGATTCGGCCTCCATCTGGGCATTATGTTCGTGGGTCCTGCGTTTTGCCTGGGGCGTGGGGTCGAGTTGGTGGAGTTTGCTGCGGAGTTGACGGGCTACCGTGGCGGCTCTGGTGATGTGTGTTGCGAGTTGCGGAGGAATTGCGAGATCTGAATTGCATCCGGAGGCGTTTATGTTCGTTCATACGACCCACGATGCAATGAAGACATCTGCGAGCCTATCGCAGGTGGAAACCCGAACCGATGGCCAGGCGATCTGGCGACGGTCTCAATCGCAAACCCGCGTGCCGCCACAACCAACCCACAGCACAGCCATCCCGATCATTCCCGAGCAGCGTGGTTCCGGAACCACTTTTTTCTTTTCACTCGATGAGACGAAACAACACAACAACCAACAGCAGACCGACTTAACCGTGGGTGCCACGACTGGCTTGTCCAGTCGTGAGCGCCACAGCAAAAGCCCGACTGGCCAAGCCAGCCGTGGCACCCATTTAGCATGAATCAACAACAAGGGTACCACCGGATCTTGATCCGGTGCGGCGCAGCCGCCAGAGGTCCTATGCGAAAGTCGAACTCTTTCGCTGGAGTTGCGGGTGCCCAAGTATGCGAAGACAACAGGAAGCCTTCTTGCAGTATTAATCCGCGTGCAACCCCTCTTGTCGTCTTCGACGACCCCGCTTCAAGAAGCGGGGCCACCCTTTATCTGAAGAGGACAATCCGTAGGTCATGCACCCCGTGCATGACAACCTACCGGCCTACCCCTGCACCACCGGATTAATCAACGTACCAATCCCGTTGATCGAAATCTCAATCACATCCCCGGAGGCCAACGTGAAATCCTCACCGGGAACAATCCCCGTCCCGGTCATCAGAAACACACCGGCGGGGAAACTATTGTCGCGTTCGAGGAAGCCAATCAGTTCTTCGTAACTGCGTTTCATCTGATCGACCGAAATCGAACCTTCGAACGCCACCGCATCGCCGCGGCGAATGACCAGCTCAATCGTCGTCTCGTGCGGGGCAGGCATCCGATCGACCAGCGTGATGGCCGGGCCCAGTGCACAACAGTCGTCGTACACCTTGGCCTGCGGAAGATACAACGGGTTCTCACCCTCGATGTCGCGGGAACTCATGTCGTTACCCACGGTGAAGCCGACCAGTTGCAAACGCGAGTTGAGCACCAACGTCAGCTCCGGCTCGGGCACATTCCACTTGGCATCGCGGCGAATCCGCACCGGACGCCCCGGCCCCGCCACGCGATGCGGTGTGGCCTTGAAGAACAACTCGGGCCGTTCGGCTTCATACACCTGCGAGTAGAACGCGGCCGCCCCTTCCGACTCCTTCATCCGTTCGCTGCGGCTGCGGAGGTACGTCACCCCGGCGGCCCAAACTTCCTGCCGGTCGATGGGGGCCAGCAACTGCAGTTGGTCAATCGTGTATCGCGGCCCAGAAGAATGAGCCAAAAACCGCGCGGTCGCCGCCGGGTCGTCGGTCTCCAAGATGTCCGAAAGCGACTGAAACTGCCCACTGGTCGTCTCCAGCAGCGTCACCTCGCCCCGCCGAACCAGCCCCACAGCCACCTCACCGCGAGGGCCGATCATCTTCACTAACTGCATGGTGTGACATCCTTATGACGCAAAACAAAAGGCGGGCAGGTTCCGAACGAACGCATTCAGCCGCGACCGTACCGCAGGCATTCAAGCGTTCGCTGCATATCGTCGGGCAAGGGGGCTTCAAACTCAAGTGGCTCGCCACTCATCGGGTGGGCGAACTTAATCCGTCGGGCATGCAGGGCCTGACGTTCGAGCACCACCTCGTCGCTGGACGTCCCCTCCAACTCGCCCCGCGTGATACTCGCTCGCGAACTGTACAGCCGATCGCACAACACGGGATTTCCCAGAAACGCCATGTGCACACGAATCTGGTGCGTGCGGCCCGTCTTCGGAAACACCCGCACCAAGGTGAAACCATCGAACAGCTCGGCCACTTCATAGAACGTCTTCGCTGCTCGCCCACCGGAGTCGACCGGCACGATGGCCATCTTCTCGCGATGTTGCCGATGTCGGCCCAGCGGCTGGTCGATCCAATCCCGCTCGCGATCGAACGGCCCCACGACTATCGCCGAGTACTCTTTTTCAACCGTGCGATTGGCGAACTGCTCAGAAAGTTTCAGGTGCGCACGATCGGTCTTGGCCACCACAATCACACCGCTGGTATCGCGGTCGAGCCGATGCACGATGCCCGGGCGAGTCGGCCCACCGACGGTGCTAAGCTGGTCGAAATGAAATTGCAGCCCGCTGGCCAATGTTCCGGCCCAGTGCCCCTTCGAAGGATGCACGACCATCGCCGGCGGCTTGTTCAGCACGACGATGGCATCATCCTCGAAGAGAATCTCCAGTGGCATCTCTTCCGGATGTGGCCCTTCGCTGGCCATCTCCGGCAACTCGATCCGCACCTGCTGCCCCGGCTTCACGCGCGTGCTGGCCTTCACGCACTGACCGTCGAGCTGCACAGCGTCGGTCGCGATGACCTTGCGAAGATGCGTGCGGCTGTAGTCGGGCAACCGCTCGGCCAGCAACGCATCGAGCCGGGTACCAGCCTCCGCAGGCTCGACCGCGAATTCGACCACTTCGGCCGGCGATTCGAATTCGGAATCGTACAACTCGTCAGACATCGCGCGCGGAACCACCTAGTTGAATCGGCGACTGCGACGCGCCGCCACGAACTGCGTGCACGGCCAAGATTCACGCGGAAAACAGCATCAGGCCGAGGCTTTCGACCATGATCGCCCAGAAGAACATCGCACGCAATTGCATGCCATATCGAACAGCCACACGCCCAACACTACGACTGAGGCGTCGTCTCTTCGTTCGACGCGGGAGCTTCCAAAGACGGCCCCTCGCTCGCGGACTCCTCCGACGACGGCTCTTCGCTCGCCGGAGTTTCTTCCGCAGGCGGGGTCTCGCTGGCGGGCTCTTCAGGAGGAGTCTCTTCCGCCGACTCTTCTTGCATAGCCTCTTCGGTCGCGGCATCGGGCTCAGGCGTCACGCCCTCTTCGGCCTCGATCACCGATGTGTCGAATTGCGGATCGAACACGGGGCTCGAAGAATCAGGGCCATCGGGAAGCGTATCCAGATCCAAGTCACCACCGAGGATGCTTTCCTGCGACTCGGTGTTTCGAGCGCCCTGCTCGGCGAACCAGTCGTAGAACGACGCAGTGGCCGGCTTGCCCAACGCGTTCAGGCGAATTTGGGCCTGCTCGGTGAAGATCCCTTCGGGAAATTCTTCGACATATTGCTCATAGGTGTCTTTGGCGGTCCGCAGATACTCGGCCGAGTCGTAGGCCAGCGATTCTTCGGTGTAGCCTTTGCCGATGAGACCACGCTGCACCAAAATCGGATCTTTGGCCTTCTCAGCCACACGGGTGTAGTTGTCCAAGGCCATCCGCAGATCTTGCCCAGCGGCCGTGCGATCGCCGAACAGAGCATTCACGCCCGACTGCAACTGGCGGTCGGCTGCCAGCAACATGGCACAGTAGCCAACGGGGGCGTTGGAGTATTGCTCGCCAATCTCGGCCAACTGGTCGAACCCCGGCTGATCGACCGCTGCAAGATATTGATTCCAGGCATCGAGTTGGCCCGTCCGTCGTTGTGCCGTAAAGAAGTAGTACACGAACACGACGGCCACAGCCGCAACAACTACAGCCGTGATGGCGGTGGCATGCGGTTTGATGCTCTCGACCGTTTGTTCGAGCCAAGCCGCGAGAGAATTCTGTTGCAATTCGTGCCGACGTTCGGTCTTCATCTTGTAGCCAAACCGGAGGACCCACCGAGTCATCCCGCGCGAGGGTCAACGCCAAGGACGCAAACCACGATCGCCGCGGGCCCAATAAGAAATGAACCGGGAGTATAGGGCGACGTCGTAAATAGCGTCAAGACCGCGACGTACGGCGTCTCGGTCGAATCACCCCACCGGTCGCGGACATGGCCGGCGGGGGATGGAAATGGTCGCTTCCGCCCCTGGCGATTGCCAACTTGGGGAGACCGCTTTACCATCCGACGACCGAATTTGCTCCCGCCCCCTCGAACTGCGAACCAACTGTTTTCCGGCATGCTGAACGACTTGAACCCCCCTCAACGACAGGCGGTCACCACGCTTTCGGGCCCGTTGTTGGTGCTGGCCGGTGCCGGAACGGGGAAAACTAGGGTCGTCACCTACCGCATCGCCCGACTCATTCAGCATGGCGTTCGACCGGAGGCCATCCTGGCGGTCACGTTCACCAACAAAGCCGCCACTGAAATGCAACAACGGGCCGGGGCACTGCTGGGCAAGAAGCGGAAAGAACGGCCCGAGATTTCCACGTTCCACAGCCTGTGCGTCCGGGTGCTCCGCCGTCGAATCACCGCCCTGGGGTACCCGGAAAAGTTCGCCATCTACGATCGCGGCGACCAGGAAAGCCTTGCCCGGGGGGCCCTGCGGGAGATCAAGGTCTCCGGTGAGATGCTCCGTCCGCGCGATCTGCTGTTCTTCATCGGCAACTGGAAGAACAAAGGCATCCGCCCCCAGCAAGCCCTGGAGTTGGCCCGCAGCGACAAAGAACACCTGGCCGCCAGCGGATACCGTCGGTACCAAAAGGCCCTGCAAGCCGCCGGGGCGGTCGACTTCGACGACCTGCTGCTGTGCACCGAAGAGCTATTCGAGAACCACCCCGACATCCGTCGCGAAGAGGCCGCCCGTTTTACTCACTTACTGGTCGACGAATATCAAGACACCAACGGCAGTCAATATCGCATCATTCGTGCCCTGGCCCTGGGGCATCGTAATCTGTGCGTGGTGGGCGACGACGACCAATCGATCTACGGCTGGCGCGGTGCCGAAGTGGCTCACATCCTGCGGTTCAAACGCGACTGGCCCGAGGCCACTGTGGTGCGGCTGGAAGACAACTACCGCTCGAAGGCCCCCATCCTCGAAGTGGCCAACCGACTGATCGCCTTCAACCAAGAGCGGCACGATAAGGTGCTGCGGCCGGCCCGCCAGGGCGGCGACAAACCGCATGTGCTGCAATTCGCCGACGAAGAAGGCGAAGCCAAGTACATCGCCGAGGATATCCAGAAGCTCACCCGCACGAACCGAGTGCAGCCGAGGGACATCGCCATTCTGTTCCGCACCAACGAGCAGCCGCGGGCCTTCGAGCAAGAACTCCGAAGACGCGATGTACCGTACGTGCTGGTCGGCGGCATGTCGTTCTTCGACCGCAAAGAAGTGCGGGATATCTTCTCGTATCTGAAATTGCTCGTCCGCCCGGGCGACGAAGTGGCCCTGCTACGAATCATCAATGTCCCGCAGCGCGGCATCGGGCAAACCACCGTCAAGAAGCTGCTGGAACAGGCGGTCTCCAGCGGTCAGCCGCTGTGGGATATCGTCCGTAAGGTCGATCGCAACTCAAACTTCCCCGGCCCCGCCGTGCAGGGTTTGACCGACCTGCGAGAAACGCTCGACCGCATTCGCAACCTAGTGGGTAAGCGGCCGGTCGATCACATCGTCCGCGAGGTGATCAGCCAGTTCGACTACCGAAGGGAAATCGAACGCCAATACCCCAACGCCAACGACCAGGAACTGCGCTGGAACGCGGTCGAGGAAGTCGTCAACGCGGCGGCCCAGCACGAAGCCCGTTACGAAGAGGGTTCGCTGGAGAAGTTCCTGGACGATATTTCGACCAACGACCGCGACGACGACAAAGACACGCAGCTCAAACGAAATGCCGTGGCATTGATGACTTTGCATAGTGCCAAGGGACTCGAGTTCCCTCGCGTGTACATGGTCGGCATGGAAGAAGGACTACTGCCGCATCAACGGGCCATCAGCGAAGACGAGAGGCAGATCGACGAAGAGCGGCGTCTGTGCTACGTCGGGCTCACACGCGCCCAGGATGTGCTCACGCTCAGCCTGGCCCAAAGCCGGCGGAAGTGGGGCAAAAGCCGAACGAGTATCCCGAGCCGATTTCTCTTTGAACTCTTGGGCAAAGCAGACAATCCCGCGGCCGCTCGGGCGATGGCCAACCAGGCCGCCGCAGCTAACGCCCCTAAGCCACATTCCCCAAGTTCACGCCCTAACCGACCATCCTCTTCGCCGGGTAGCCGTCGTGGAACGAAACACTAGCAGGCCGAAGTAGATTTTTCTGCTGGCTTCGCCAGCTCAATGCCTTGATAGCAAGGAAATTTGTGCTGTTATTGCCCAAGTCGACTGGGAAGGGAGCGCAATCGGCGTAGTGCAGTCGATCCGCATCGGATACACTCGGCGGCGTATTCAGCGGCGTTGGCGATTGATCTTGCCGCACAACTAAATCGCCAGACGCGCAAGGAGGCGCCGAATGACATCGACCACTGCGTTGAGCTTCATCCACACCAGCGATTGGCATTTAGAATCGCCCGCTGGCGGAATCCCCGAAGTGCCACAAGGTCTTCGCGAGTTGTTTCTCGAAGCCCCGTACATGGCCGCAGAACGGGTGATCGAAACCGCTCTGGAAAACAACGTCGACTTTGTCGCACTCTCGGGCGACGTGGTCGACCCCCAGTTGGCCGGCCCGCGGGCGTGGCTGTTCTTACAAGAACAATTCGCTCGACTCGCCGATCGCGACATCGAGGTCTACTGGGCCGGTGGACGAGTCGACCCACCCGAGGCCTGGCCCGAGCGATTGAAACTTCCAGACAATGTAACGGTCTTCCCTGCCGACGAGCCCGCCCGTGTCATGCGGAGCCGTGGTCATGAACCGGTGGCGGAGATCATCGGCCAAAGCCGACGTGGGCGGAAGGCGCTCGATGCCGAGTTGTTCACGCGTCGTCAGACCGAACTGCCAACCATTGTTATTGCCCACGCGAAGGTGGATGCCGAAGCGTTGGAGCAAGAGTCAATCGACTATTGGGCTCTGGGCAGCAAGCACCGCCGGGCCACGTTGTTCGCCTCGCGAAAGATCGGGCACTACTGCGGTTCGCCCCAAGGTCGCTCACCCCGCGAGCATAGCGCGCATGGCTGTACGTTGGTCACCACCGACGACGAAGGCAAGCTGCACACCAGCTTCGTGCCGACCGATGTGCTGCGCTGGCAGAACGAACGACTGGTGGTTGATGATGCCACCACGATGGCCGACATGGAACAAATGCTCGGCGAGCGAATGCGGAGCCTGGTGGCCGCCGGCGGCGATATCGACACGATCGTCTCTTGGACCATCTCCGGAAGCGGCTCGCTGATCTCTCATGTGCGACGCCCGGGTGCGAACGCTCAACTTCTGAATACGTTGCGACGCCAATACGGCGAGGGGTCGCCCGCAGTGTGGACTGCGACGTTGGACGTGGATTCCACCGGAACACTCGACCCGAGTTGGTACGAACAAGACTCGATCTTGGGCGACTTTCTCCGGGTGCTCCGCGACCGGCAATCGGACAAACAACCGCTCGATCTTACTGAGTTCATCGGCGAAAGCCCCTTGCAGGAAGAACTCGAGACCGCGGTGTTGATCGAAAGTAAGGACCAGCGACAGGACGTGCTGCGGCACGTTGCAGCGCTAGGAGCCGAATTGCTCCGAGGGGAGGATGGTTCGCCGTGAAAATTCGCGATCTGCATGTCGATGGGTTCGGTGTCTGGCACAAGCTCGACCTGGACAAACTCTCCGAAGAGATCACCGTACTGTACGGCCCCAACGAGGCCGGCAAATCGACCCTGATGCAGTTCATTCGCGCGGTGCTGTACGGGTTCTCGCCCGAGCATCACCTGCGGTACTTGCCTCCGGTGCGAGGGAAAAAGCCCGGCGGGAAGTTGCGGCTCGATACTTCACGCGGTGAGTTCGTGGTGAGCCGGGGTAACGATCCTCAGGCGGACGGCCCGAATGCGGGACTGGTGAAACTGGTCAACTCCGCAGGCACGGTGCCGACCGACATCGATGTGACAACGTTGCTCTCGGAGATCGATGAGCGGACGTTCCATAACATCTACGCCGTGGGCATTCGCGAGTTGCAGGAACTCGGCACGCTCAGCGATTCGGCCGCCGCAGAATCTCTGTACAACCTCACGGCGGGTCTCGATCGTGTTTCGCTTTCCGATGTGGTCCGCGAGCTGAAGCATGCCCGACGACGCTTGATTTCGCCGGAAGGTGAACCCTCGCGGATCGCCGAACTAATCGAGCGGCGTGACGAACTGCAATTGCAGATCGAAGAACTATCCACGCAGCCGGAAGAGTATTTAACTCTGTGCGGCCAACGCGACGACCTGGAGCCCAAGCTTCGCGAGATGCAACGCGAAGCGACCGACATCGAACGCCAGATGCGGATGATCGAGCTGGCGTTGTCGCTGCGACCTCGTTGGGAAGCCAGAGCCGAGACCGACGGGAAGATCACCCGCATGGGCGAACCTCGCCCCGTGCGGCCCCAGGTGCTGGATGAACTGAAACAACTGGACGAGCAACTGGCCGAACAGCGAAAAGAATCGCGAGAGCTGAAACACCAGCGCGAGGCGCTGCAAGAACGCTTCGACCTGTTGGACTTCAACGAAGCCCTGTGGGATCAGAGTCCCCGAATTGAAGCGGCTTCTGACCACCGCGAGCTGCTGGAGATTCTGCAGCGTCAAACCGGCCGGCTGCGGCAGCGGTTGGCGAAGCTTGATGCCAGGGCACAGCAATATCGTCAACGCCCCGGGTTTAAGGCTCCCGCCTCGCAAGCGAACCCCGAGGGCGTCACTGAGAAGAAGCTCAGCGAACTCAAGAAGCTTTCGCAATCGATCGCCGAGCAGAAGAAGCTGGTTTCGCGCTCCGAAGCGACGGCGGCCAAGGCTAAGCGGCGCGCGGCGGACATCACCGCGCAATTGCATGATCGATTGGGCACCGATCCTTCCGATGACTTAACGGCGATTCTCGAACAGTCGGGCGATCGCGTCAGCCAATCGCGGCGTCGGGTACATCTCGATGAGCGTCTCGAGAAGCTAGGGCACGAGAAAAACGAACTGGAAGAGACGAGCGATCGGATGATCGAGCGTCAGCTTCTCTCCGGTTGGGCTCTGGCCGGCATCGGGGCGATGTTCATCGTGGGCATTGCTTCGCTGTTGTTGCTGCTGGTGAGCACGGTGCTGCCGATCGCGGAGGACACTTCGACGACGTTGTGGTTGGGCATCATGGGCATTGGCCTGCTGATTGCAGCCGTCGTGGTGAAGATCTCGCTGGAGCGTGAAGCCCGGCGGCAGATGAACGATGTGCAAGAGCAGCTCGATACCGTGCATCGGCAGATAGCTAAGCTGCGGGACGATCGAGACGAGTTGGATGCCGCATTGCCTGGGGGCGGTGGCCCCCTGGTCATGCGATTGCAGAACGCCGAACAACAGCACTCCGCTTTGGAAGACCTGCTGCCGCTGGACTCGCAGCGGAAGGAGGCCATGGCCAAGGAAGAGGCCGCCAACGAGCGGACCGCCACGGCCCGAGGGGAAGTGCAGACGCTGGAACAACTGTGGCAGAGCGAACTGCGGCAGCTCGGCTTGCCGGCCGACTGGTCGCCCAAGCAACTCAGTTCACTGGCCACCGGTCGCAAACGGCTGGACCGGCTCACCCGGCAGCAAGAGCGTTTGCGAGAGGATCTGGAGATTCAGGAGAAATCGCTGGCCTCGATGTCGCGGCGGATAGCCGAGTTGGTCGAGGCGGCCGAACTGGAGGCCCCCAGCAACAATCCGCTCGAGCAGTTGGCCTTCTTGTCTCGAGAGCTGGCAGCCCAACAGGGTCTGGCGCAGCAGCGGGACGAACTCCGCGGCGAGCTGCGGCAGATCGATCGACAGCGTTCGAAGCTGAGACGCCAGAAGGAAGAAACCACCCGACACCGGCTCGACCTGCTGAGTGCCTACGAGTGCGAAGACGAATCGCAACTGAGCGAAGCGGTGGCGCAGCGTCAACGTTACGAGAACCTCCTGCAGCGTCGCGAAGAACTGCAGCGAGAGATCGCCGCTGCGTTGCAGCAGCAATTCACCGAGCGGGAGATCAGCGGCCTGCTCGATCAGTTCGAGGTGAAGCAACTCGAGCAGCAGTGGGACGAGTTAACCAGTTCGCACAGCACGTGTGAGTTGCAGCGTGAAGAGTTGCTGGAAGAGCGAGGACGGATCGCCGAGCGGTTAAGCACGTTGGCTGAAAGTCGCGAGCAGGCTGAAAGTCAACTCGAGCTGGGTGAAGTCGAGATCCAACTCGAACGAGCCATCGGCGAGTGGCAGGCTCTGGCGGTGACTGATCAATTGTTAGGCGAGATCCGCGATCAGTATCAACGCGAACGTCAGCCCGAGACGCTACGCGAAGCGTCGGGTTACTTCGAGCGACTGACCGGCGGCGCGTACCGCCGGGTGTGGACTCCACTGGAAGAGGATGTGCTGCTGGTCGACGACGCGGATGGAAACACGGTGTCGGTGAAAGTGCTCAGCCGGGGCACCCGCGAGCAGTTGTTCCTCTCGCTGCGGCTGGCGTTGGTTGCCGCCTATGCCCGCAGAGATATTCATCTGCCGTTGGTGCTGGACGACCTGCTGGTGAACTTCGACAACACCCGAGCGAAGGCCACGGCTAAGTTGCTGAAAGACTTCGCAGCCGAGGGGCATCAAATCCTGCTGTTCACCTGCCACGACCATATCGTGAAGCTGTTCCGAGGGTTGAAGGTCGACGTACGGCGACTGCCGCGGAATCGCGATGTGCCGAACAAGCAGCCGGAAAGCCTGCCGACGGAAGAACGGAAGGTGGTGGAAGTGCCCAAACCGAAGGTGGTCGAGCCGCCCAAGCCCAAGCAGCCGGAAGAGCCACCGCCGGAGGAACCGACTCCGATCATCACGGTGGCCGAAATCCTCGCGACGATCGAGCCAGAGAAGCCGAAGGTGATCGTGGAAGAGACGCCGGTATTCGAAGAGCCGGTGCTCGAGAAACAGCCGCCGTTCGTAGCGACTGAAGAATACGAAGCAGCCGAGACGGTGTTTCCCGACGACTTACGAATGCGACCATTGCCACACGACGATGATGGCGGCGATGGCGACCGCGATGTTTCCAATCGCACGCGGGCGGTGGCCTTCGAAACGTGGCAGGGTGCGAAGGGTCTCGCAGAGCAAGAACTGCTGGCCAAAGCCAGAGCATTCCACGAACGCCGTAAGAAACGTCGGGTTGATGGGGCCGATTCGCCTGCGCCCCGACTGTGGGCGGCGGAGGCCGGCGAAGAGTTCGAAGGGGAGTTCGCCGAGCGGCCGGGCTCCGGGTATCGCTACCCGAGTGACGAGTCGCTGTTGGCCGATGAGGTCGAAGGTTCGGCGGAAGGTGAGGTCTCTGACGTTGAAGCCGAAGCCTTGAAAGCGAAGCAGCGGGAAGCTCGACAACGTAAGTCTTAGTCTATTTAAGTCCATCTCAACGGTAAGTTCGGCACTGCTGGACAAGCCAGCAGTGGCACCCGAGGGACTCAGAATCTTTTACGAGCTCAGCCCCAGCGGAGGTTACTTTCGCGCTCGGCGGTGCTTGAGTTGCTGCCGGTGAGAGATCGCAGGCGGCGGGCGACGTGGCGGTAGCGGCTGCGGAAGGCTACAGTAAGCCAGCCTAAGTACACGTTGCCACCTAGCGAGAGACAAAGGCCAACCAGGCTGGCGGCCAACGGCCACCACAGGTGCTTGTCCTCTGAAGGCTCAGCTTCTTCTGCACCTGCATCTTCGCTTACCCCGATGCTGGCTTCGCCCTCGATCGACATTTTTGCGGCCGTGCGGTTGCTTTCATTCGCCGGCTCGAAACTTGCCGGTGAGGCGGGCATCGCCCGACTGTCGGGAAGGAGCGGCAACTGCGGCGGCTCTGCGGCCAGAGACGATTCGTCTAGCGGTGGTTCAATGCTCTCTTCGGTCTCGTCATCGAGCGGGTCTGTTTCTGCGATCGGTGGTGGGTAGCTGGGCTGTTCCGTGGTCGGCGGTTCATACTCGGGGCGGCTCACCGCGGGGGCTTCGTACGTGGGCGCCGAGGGGAAGGTTAGTTCCGGCCCGTTTTCCAATTCCTCGGTGGCTTCGAAGGCGCCGGTGACTGGCTCGGGGGGAGGATCTTCACCGGCGGGAGTCTTTCGCGCGGGCGATTGCTCGCGAAGCGAGTCGTTGCCACGCGGTTGCCACTGACCTGGGTCGACGACAGGACCGGGCGTGAACTGTGGGGGTGGGCCTTCGGCCAATTCCTCGGTGACTTCGACCTTAGGTATTTCGAACGTTGGGCGCACGGCCGGGGTTTGAGGTGGCGGTGCCGAGCGGGCAGGCGGCTGCGGTTCGGCCGAGAGTTCCGTCGGCGGGGTACCAATGCGCGGAACTTCGCCGGAACCTACAGTGATGCGGTAGCTGCGGACGTTGCGGAGGTACGGCGGAATGTCGCTGACGACATCTTCGCCACGCCGTAGCGACTCGAGCGTCTCGGGTTCGAGCTGAATGATGTATTCGAATCCGCCCCCGGCGCGTGGCTGCCAACCGTAATCGACGCCGAGTGTGGCCGCTGCCACGAGAATGATGAACATCGCTGTGCCTCCTGCTTGCAGGCATGGGTGCATGCCGCCAAACGAAATGGTTCAACCGCAGTTCATCGTACCGCGGCTGCAGGCAAGAGGTAAAGCGTCTGCGGGTTTGGGCGAGCCCCGACGCGGAGCGTGCTATCAAGAAGCGTGAAAACTCCACCTAATCGGCATCCAACGCACGCTTCGGTAGATACGAAGTTACGACTCTTCCGACTCGGTGTGCGGATGATGCAGGGCGTGTTCGATGATGGACTCGCCCGACTTGGCGGCTTCCTGGTCGAGTTCGATCAGTTCTTTGCGAAGGATATTCAGCAAGGCTTGCAGGAAAGCCACGATCATGGGGCCGACGAAGATACCGATGGGGCCAAGGGCTTGCACGCCACCCAGCACGCTGAGCAGGGCCATCAAAGGGTGCATGTTCGAGTGACCATGCAAGATGTAAGGCTTGATGACGTTGTCGACCATCGAAACAACGAGGGTTCCATAGATCGCCAAGCCAATGGCGGCCGTGGGGCGACCTTCGACCAAGAACAACCACAAGCTGCACGGCAGCCATACGGCGGTGGCCCCCACGAAGGGCACCATGGCGAATAGCCCCGTCAGGAACGTGAGCAGGATCACGGCGTCGAGCCCCACGATGAGGTAGCCCAGCCCTGCCAACACCGCTTGAGCGGCGGCCGAGACCAGCGTGGCCAGCACGACGGCGCGGCTGATGCGGTCGAACTCGTCGAGCATCTCCTGTTCGTAGCGATCTTCCAAAGGCGAAAGTCGCATGACCGTGCGGACCATGCCGGGTCCATCGGCCAGGAAGAAGTACAACGAGATGACCATCACGCCGAGGCCAATCAGCAGGCCACCCAAGACCCCGCCGACGTACTGCGTGGTGCTGAGGGCCATGGGGCCAAGCCAGTTATCGATGCGCTGACGAACCTGCCGGAGATCCTCAGGCCCTGGGTTGGCCAGTCGCTTGAGTCGATACAGCCAGGGTCCGCCGTAAAGGTCTCCGCGGAACTCGAAGAATGAATTGCTGACCATCTCTTGCCGTTCGCGCGCGGAGTACTCGTGAGCCGTGTTTGTTTCAGAACCGTTTTTGACGGGGGTTGCCCAGGGTTGCACCAGGTCGGCAAGGATAGAGTACGACGAGGCAAGGTCCTCGCGTCTTTGCGGGTACCCTGAAAGTGTTTGCTCTACTTCTTTCACGGCCGGTTTGAGCCGCTCGACTTGAGTCGCAATCTCTAGATGAAGCTTGCTTCTTCGCTCCAGGGTTAATGAAGCGTCGTCCGCCTCGCGGAGCAACGCTTCGATCTCTTCAATCGCGTCCTTGCCGGGCATTTCTAGTGAGAACCGCTTCCGCAACGCGTCCATGTCGCCTTCCAGCTTGCTCTGGTTCAGGTTGCGCACCATCGAGATGCCTTCGGTGGCGGCCATAGCAAGGACAGTGATGAAGGGCAGCAGCACGATTAGCAGTATGATGGTTGTCGTGATGCCTGCGGCGGTGCGCACTCGGCCGTTCAGCCTGTCGGTAAGCCAATTGTGCAGGGGGCGGAAGACCACCACCATCACCACGGCCAGGAACATGGGCAGCAGGAAACTGCCCAACACTTCGAGCACCAGCCATGCGCAAAGCCCGACGATTCCGATCAGTACGACGAGCGAGATGAGCCTCGTCACAAGGTTTCCTTTCCGCATCACTAGCCACCCCGCCATGCACAGCAGGGGTATGTCTATCACCAGGACATGAGCGAGGATTGTAGCAGATGAGGTTTGCCGACGACTACGACCGACCTTGTTCGTAAGTCAGTTACCCCTGAGAATTGTTCGCTTCGAAGCACACGCACTCCTACCAAACTTAAATGCCTACCGCTGGGCCTATGACCGACATCGCACCAAGAAAATGTGCCCGCTGGCTGCGAATTGCCGCCCAGGTTGTCTTTCTGGCGGTGCTGCTTTGGGCCGTGCGAAGGTACTTGAGCACCGCGCTGGCTGACTTGGAGGACTACGACTGGGAGCTGCACCCGGAGTGGTTGGTGCTTGCCGGAGTTTTGTATTTGGTAGGGCTGCTACCCTGCGCGTGGTTTTGGCGGCGATTACTGTTTCGCTTCGATCAGGAGCCACGTTCTAGTGATGTACTGAGGGCCTATTACATCGGGCATCTCGGCAAATATGTTCCCGGCAAGGCGATGGTGGTGGTGCTGCGAACCGTGATGCTTCGCGAGAAGCAGGTTGATACCACCGTGGCAGCGGTCACGGTGATGTATGAGACGTTGACGATGATGGCCGTGGGGGCCGCCGTGGCTGGGTTGCTGGTCGCCCTGTGGTGGAGCGAGCAGATGTGGACGATTCTGATCGCCGTGGGGTTGATGTGTGTGGCGATCGTGCCCACGCTGCCGCCGGTGTTTCGCTGGTTGGCTCGCCTGGTGGGCATGGGGCGATCGGACCCGCGCGTGGCCGAACGTTTGGCTCGCTTTGGCTACGGAGAGTTGATCGTCGGGTGGTTTACGATCGCCGGCGGGTGGTTCGTGCTGGGGCTCAGCCTGTGGGCGGTTCTACAAGGCATTGGCGTGAAGGACTTCCCGCTGCTGCAGAACTGGCCGCTGTGCACGGCGGCGGTTTCGCTGGCGGTGGTCGCAGGGTTCTTGTCGCTCATCCCGGGAGGGGCCGGCGTTCGCGAGTCGATTTTGTTACCGCTGCTCGCGCCAGAGTTGGGGGCCACCGTGGCGTTGGGGGCCGCACTTCTGCTACGGGTTGTGTGGCTGGTAGCCGAATTAGCCGTTTCAGCTATTTTATTTCTTACAGGCAAGCGAAACGTTTCCCCGTGAGTGGGTAATTCCGGAAAGGTTGCTCTCCGGACATGATGCGGCACTGCAACGCGTGACGAAGACGACTAAGGCCCAAACCGATTGAGCAATCTATGCTGCTATCCGCCGTCATCCCTGTGTACAACGAAGTCGACAGCCTCCCTGCGCTGTACGATCAGGTTGTATTGATTGCAGAGGACAAACGGTTCGATCTGGAAATCGTCTTCGTCGACGATGGCTCACGCGATGGTTCGTGGGACGTCATCGAGCGGCTTGCTGCCGCCGATCCGCGGGTGCATGGCATTCGCTTTCGCCGCAACTTCGGTAAGGCCGCCGCGTTGAATGCCGGCTTCGCTGAAGCCCAAGGCGAAGTGGTGGTGACCCTGGATGCCGACCTGCAGGACGACCCGGCCGAGATCCCGCGATTCGTCGATCAGATCGAGCAAGGGCTCGACGTCGTAAGCGGCTGGAAGAAAGTGCGGCACGACCCTTGGCACAAGGTGCTGCCCTCCCGCGTGTTCAACTACATGGTGAGCAAGCTGACCGGGGTTCACCTGCACGATCATAACTGTGGGCTGAAGTGTTATCGCAGCGAGGTGCTGGGCGAAGTGCGACTATACGGGGAGTTGCACCGCTTTATTCCGGTGTTGGCGCACGCCCGGGGTTTCAGCGTGGGTGAGTTGGTGATTCAACACCGACCCCGTCAGCATGGGCATTCGAAGTATGGCGTGGCGCGATTCATCAAGGGGTTTCTCGATCTGCTGACGGTCAAATTCCTCACCGGGTTTGGTCAGCGGCCCTTGCACTTTTTGGGCAGCATCGGGCTCATCTTCTTTTTGATTGGATCGCTGGGGCTGTTTTGGCTGGCCATCGATTGGACGGCCAACTGGTTCTCGCCTTCGGCCGATCACATCCCCCTGCACCAACGACCGGCTGTGCTTTACAGTGCGGCCGCCATGTTGTTGGGCGGGCAGTTGTTGTCGATCGGCATCGTTGCCGAACTGATCACCGCCTACACCGGACGCGACCGCGATACGTATTCAATCACCGAGCGAACCGCTCCGGCCATTATCTCCCACCCGCGGGCACGCAATGAATCTTCCCTCTGAAGACCCCAACCAAACGCTGCGAAGAAGCGTGTACTGGTTGCTCATCGCCCTGAGCATCGGCAGTGTGACGGGCCGCATTCTGGCGGTCGACTCGGTCGATACTTTGGCGTTGGAGAAACACCTGCGGCGCGAGGATCCAAATCGAGAATTGCAACGTCCGTTCTTAAGTGCGAACGATCGTAGTCGTTGGTGCACAGTTCGGGCCCTGGTGGAACATGGAACGTACCAGATCGACGAGGTGATCCAGGAACGCGGCTGGGACACTATCGACATGGTCAAGCACGACGGACATCTGTATTCGAGCAAACCGCCGCTGCTGGCCACGCTGATTGCGGCCGAATACTGGGTTTTGCATCAGATCACGGGCAGCACGCTGGGCGAATCTCCGCACGCTTTGGGGCGATTCATGCTGGCGACAATCAATATCCCGGCGCTGCTGGTTTGTTTTCTGTTGCTCGTTTCCATCGTCGAGCGGTATGGCAACAGCGATTGGGGACGGATCTTCGTGATCGCGGCCGCCACGTGGGCCACCCTGATGACGACCTTCGCAGCGACGTTGAACAACCACTTAATCGCAGCCGCCGCGGCGACGGCGGCGTTATGGGCAACACTTCGCATCTGGCAAGACGGCTCGCGACGACTCGATGAATTCGTGCTGGCCGGCGCGGCGGCAGCGTTTTGTGCGGCGAACGAACTGCCGGCGTTGTCGTTGGCTGCGGCTTGCACGCTGGCGATTTTCTGGAAAGCCCCACGGCAGGCAATCATTGGGTTTGTACCGGCCGCCGCGGTGGTGGCCGGTGCGTTCTTCGCCACAAATTACGCGGCCCACGGTTCGATGATTCCTCCCTACGCTCATCGCGAGGAGGGGGAGAACTGGTACGACTACGAGTACGAACGCAACGGACGCACGATTCACAGTTACTGGCAGAACCGTTCCGGCATCGATCTCGGGGAAGCCTCTCCGGTGATTTATGCGGTGAATGTGTTGGTGGGGCACCACGGGGTGTTCTCGCTCACGCCGGTGTGGCTGCTTTCGTTCCTGGGGCTGGGCTTGATGCTTACGGCCGAAGATCGTTCCTTACGTTGGATCGCCCTGGCGATACTTGGGCTGTCGGTGGTTTGCTTCGCGTTCTATCTGTCGCGACCGTTGATCGATCGAAACTACGGCGGCACCACCTCGGGCTTTCGCTGGATGATGTGGTTCGCACCGCTGTGGTTGTTCGGCATGTTGCCGGCTGCCGATGCGGCGGCCGAACGACGTTGGGCCCGGGCTATTTGCCTAGTGTTGTTGATGTTCTCCGTACTCTCGGTCGCCTACCCGACCTGGAACCCCTGGACACACCCTTGGCTGTGGGATGCCAGCGAATGGATGGGGTGGATGTAGCTCCGCTTGCTGACGCGGTCGTTGGAGTGACGAACGCCTCGAGATTAATCTTATGGCTTCATGTACCGTGGAAGACTCGCCGCAACAGACAACGACCGAGATCGCCGAAGTTCATCCAACCGAGCATAAGCACGGTGGGTTGGGGCAGTTGGCTTCGACCGCAATCTGCGGGAACGACATCACCTCTTCGTGCCTGTACGTTTCGTCGCTGGCCATCATCTACGCCGGGCGTTGGGCCCCACTGGTGCTATTGATGGTGGTTGCGGTGCTCTATCTGTATCGCTCGATCTATTCCGAGGTAGTGGGGGCGTTGCCGCTCAACGGTGGGGCGTATAACGCGCTGCTGAATACGACGAGCAAGTACAGGGCTTCGATTGCCGCCTGCTTGACGATTCTTTCGTACATGGCAACGGGTGTGATCTCGGCCAGCGAGGCGATGAATTACGCCCATTCGATGTGGAATGGACTGCCTGTGTTCGAAGCCACGATCGCGCTGCTGGCGGGCTTCACGCTGTTAACTTGTCTCGGCATCACCGAGTCGTCACGGGTGGCGGTGGTGATCTTTGTTGCTCACCTGACCTCGCTGGCCATTTTGCTGGTGGCAGGCATTGCGCACGTGGCGATGAATGGAACCGAGATTCTAATGGCCAACATGCAGACCCCGGTTGAGGGTGGTGTGTGGAAGGCGTTGTTCTTCGGGTTTTCGGCCTCGCTGCTGGGAATTTCAGGTTTTGAAAGCTCGGCCAACTTCGTCGAGGAACAAGCCGAAGGAGTGTTCCCCAAGACACTGCGAAATATGTGGCTGGCGGTGACGATCTTCAACCCGGCCATGGCTCTGCTGGCATTGTCGTTGGTGCCGATAGCGGCGGTGAAGGGACACGACGCCACGCTGCTGGCCTACATGGGCGATATGTCGGCAGGCCAGTGGTTGTCTTGGTTGATCTCAATCGATGCCGTGCTGGTGCTGAGTGGTGCGGTGCTGACGAGTTTCGTCGGTGTGAACGGCTTGGTCCACCGGATGACGCTGGACCGTTGTCTGCCGCAGTTCCTGTTGAAATCGAACCGGCGGAACACAACGCATCGCATCATCATCGCCTTCTTCGTGCTGTGCGTGTCGGTGTTGTTTATCACCGAGGGTCGACTGAAAGAGCTGGCCGGGGTGTATGCGTTGTCATTCCTGTCGGTAATGACGTTGTTCGCGCTGGGCAACATCCTGCTGAAAGAGAAACGCTCTCGCTTGCCGCGGCCCACACGAGCTTCGTGGTTCACGGTGATTCTGGCGATCACCGCTGTGCTGGGCGGATTGGTTGGCAATGCGATACGCAATCCTGAAGACGTGGGTGTGTTCTTCGAGTACTTCATCCCCGCGCTGCTGATCGTTTCGATCATGCTGGGGCGAATTACCTTGCTGAAATTCTGCCTGAAGCTGGCACGGGCGGGACTGACGAGTTTCTTGAGCCCCCGCTACCGACTGGCCCAGGCGATACTCAAGAAGATCAATGAGATCAACTCGCAGCAGATGGTGTTCTTCACGCGGGGTGCCAACCTGCCGAACTTGAACAAGGCGTTGTTGTATGTGATCAAGAACGAGCACACCAACCGCATTAAAATCGTTAGCGCGGTGAAGGACGAGAACCACTCTCCTGCGAGGATCGAACAGGTCATCAAGTTCCTCGACGAACTTTATCCTGATGTCGATATCGAGTATGTCAAACTCGAAGCCGAATTCGGCCCTGCGTTGATCGACAAGCTCTCGAAAGAATGGGACATCCCGAAGAACTTCATGTTCATCGGATCGCCCGGCGACCGCTTCATTTACGGTCTGGCCGAGCTTGGCGGCGTTCGGCTGATTGTATAGCGGACCAGCGATTCTCGGCCTGCGGGACGGTCATTCGGCCCGCTTCCTGCCGCACTTTTCTGCTACCTCCTGCGCGAAGAATGGCTTAGGCTATGATTCGTCTCCGGGCTAGTTCTCGGTTCGCAATTACACGCGACCCACCCGGGACGATTCTACGAACCAATCTTCGACGAAGGAGTGGCTGTCGATGCTGTACGGTAAGCATGGGGCATTCTGGTTCGCTCTTGTGGTGGTTGGCTGCTTACTTTCGGTCGCGAAGGTATCGGCCGCGCAAGTCACGACCTACGACGTGGGCGTGGCGAAGATCGACATCACGCCGAAGTTCCCTGTCCGTCTGAATGGGTTTGGGTTTCGTCGCGATGAGTCGATTGGGGTGACCCAACCGATTTATGCCAAGGCCTTGGCCATCGGCAGCGATGAACAGCAGCCGGTCCTTCTGATCACGATCGACATCCTGGGCATTCCCGTCGATATCGCCGAACAGGTCACTTCGCGACTGCAGGCGAAAGCCAACATCGATCCAACCCGAGTTGCCTTTAGTGCTTCGCACACACATACGGCCCCCATGCTCACTGGGGCAAACACCACGTTGTTTGGGGTTCCAATTCCACCAGAGCATCTGGAGCACATCGATCGCTACACGGCCGAATTCATCGACAAGCTTGAGCAGGTGGCACTGGCGGCTTTGGCCGATCGCAAGCCGGCCACGCTGAGTTGGACGGTGGGAAGTGTTGGGTTCTCGAAGAATCGTCGCCCTCAGGGAGGACCGGTCGATCATGACTTGCCCATGTTGGTGGCCAAGTCGCCCGACGGAGCGATTCGGGCGGTGTATGTGAGCTACGCGTGTCATTGCGTGACGCTTTCGCTCAACGAAATCAGCGGCGATTGGGCCGGGTACGCTCAAGCGCAGATTGAAGCGAACTACCCCGGCGCGATCGCCATGGTGGCGATTGGCTGCGGTGCCGACACCAACCCCATCCCCGGCGTTCAAGGCGACCGGACCGACGTGGCCGAGTCGCAGGGGAAAGAAATCGCCGATGAAGTCGATCGACTGCTGAAGACGCCGTTGAAACCACTCTCGGGCGAGTTGACCACGGCCGTACGTGAAGTGCAGCTTTCGTTCGATGTGCATCCCACCCGCGAGGAGTGGGAACAACGTGTGGAGAAGGGCGGGCCGGTCGGTTATCACGCCAGCGTGCAGTTGGCTAAGCTCGATCGGGGCGAAAAGCTGCGGGAGGAAATCGATTACACGATTCAAACGGTGTCGTTCGGCGATGAGCTGGCGCTGGTGTTCCTACCCGGCGAAGTGGTGGTGGATTACTCGCTGCGGTTGAAACGGGAGTTGGACGGTCTGCGGCTGTGGGTGAACTCGTATTCGAACGGGGCCCCCTGCTATATCCCCTCAGAACGTGTTCTTGCAGAAGGCGGTTATGAGGGTGAGACCGCGATGACGTACTACGATCAGCCGACGAAGTTCGAGCCGGGCCTGGAGCAGACCATCATCGATGCCGTGCACGAGATGCTCGATGAGAAGTTCCAGCCGGAGTTGAATCCCAACGGCACCGATGGAACCCGACCAATGCCGCCGCAGTCATCGTTGAAAGCGATTCAGACGCGGCCGGGTATCGTCGTCGAACTAGCGGCGGCCGAACCGCTGGTCACTTCGCCGGTGGCGATCGACTTTGGCCCCGACGGACGGATGTGGGTGGCCGAGATGTACGATTACCCCTCGGGGATCGACAACAACTTTCAACCCGGCGGGCGAATTCGTGTTCTGGCCGATAAAGACGGAGACGGGCAGTACGACACGGCCGAGGTGTTCCTCGACGGGATCCCCTTCCCCACGGGCGTAACGGTCTGGCGCGGAGGGGTATTGATCTGCGCCGCTCCCGACATTCTGTTTGCCGAAGACACCGATGGCGATGGACGGGCCGACACACGCAAGGTGCTGTATAGCGGTTTTGGTTCTGACAACTACCAGGGCCGGGTGAACAGCCTGTGTTATGGACTGGACGGTTGGGTCTATGGTTCCTGCGGGCTGTTTGGTGGCGAAATCACCAACTTCCACGGTGAGAAGTTCGCCCTGGGCGATCGGGATTTTCGCATTCGACCCGACACCGGCGAGCTGGAACCCGCCACGGGACGCACGCAGCAAAGTCGGCCTCGCGACGATTGGGGCAACTGGTTCGGCTGCAACAGTGGGACACTCGCGCTGCATTACGTTCTGGAAGATCACATTCTCCGGCGGAACCCGAACTTGATCCCACCGTCGCCGACTAGCTATGTACCTGATTACCCAGACTCCACCCGGCTGTTTTCGGTTGGGCAGCCAAGCTTGTTCAAACTTTCAGGCCCGGCCAATCAACCGACGGCCGTGTGTGGGTTGGGTATCTATCGCGATGACCTGTTGGGCGACGGATTTGTCGGCAACGCGTTCACCTGCGAGCCGGTGAATCAGTTGGTGCATCGCCTGGTGCTGGAGCCCAAGGGGGCAACATTCGCGGGACATCGTGCGGAGGGTGAAGAGCAGGCCGAGTTTCTGGCTTCGACCGACCCGTGGTTTCGGCCGGTGCAGGTGACGACGGGGCCCGATGGGGCCTTGTACGTGGTGGATATGTACCGCTTTCTGATCGAGCATCCACGGTGGGTTCCGCCGGAAGATCTGGAGCGGATCGACATCCGAGCCGGCAGCAACTTGGGACGCATCTATCGGGTGCTTCCCGCGGGGCAGCGCCCACGGCCGGTGGTGAAGCTCGACGAGTTGGAAGGGGTGGATCTGGCCGAAGCGTTGGATACCGACAATGGCCCGCAACGGGATTTGGCGGCCCAGATGCTGGTGTGGAGAAACGATCTGGCGGCCGTGCCGAAGTTGGTGGAGTTGTGCTCGGCTGAGCGTGCGGCGACGCGGATGCAGGCGCTCTGCACGTTGGCCGAGTTGGGGACGTTGGTCGAGCAGCAAGCCATTGCGGCGCTCTCCGATTCTCATCATGCGGTAAGGCGGCAAGCGGTCAGGTTGTTGCCGGCAAGCGCTGCCGCGCTGGAGGCGATCGATCGATTGAAACTTGTCAGCGATGGCAATCTGCAAGTGCGAATGGCGGTGGCGGCGAAGTTGGGCGAGATGCCCGGGGCTCGGGCGGCCGAA